TTTTCCCACTGCTGAATTATCAATGCTGAATTATTTATCATAAAATTAAGCACACATATCAGGAGCCAGTTGAGTGTAAAATGTTCCCCTTTGGGCATAGCCAGGCATTTCAATCAATGCATGTTTACATCTGCTTGTGCAGATGTATTTCCAGTGTACAGTGTGATAACCTGCAACTCTCAAAGAAACTGGTAGAAGTTGAATCAGGCCCATGGTATCCCAATTGATATTTATGAAGAATATATTTTGAAGTTGATTAGTCAAATATGAAATAGATAAAGAAAAAAAGCCATTTTTGCCTTTCATTTTTTAAAGATTGAGAGATGGATGCTCAAAAAAGAGGCATTGTGCTCTTCCTTTTTATTTCCAGGGGAGCTTTGTTGCAATGGCTATCTTAAAAGTAAACATTCAGCTCAGATAGGAGAATTCAGATCCTATGGTTTATACTCTCTGTTTATTTGGTGCTCTGAGGAATAAACCTAATAATTTTGGGCTGACCCAGAGACTGAATCAAAAAATCCCTTTTCACTTTTATAACTGTTATTTTGCCCTGCAGTCTAGCTTGGAGTTTCACTGCTCTAAGTACAGCTTTCAGCATGCCTTCCAGAGCTGCACACCTGCAGCTCTCCCTTTTTCCCCACTGTGGCTGTTTAACATTCCAGACTCCACACAGCTCACTTGGTGCAAGTGCCATTTCATATTGCCCAAGACATGTTGCAGGTCTCCATTTGAAGACTGAACCCTAGATAGGTTTGTGATGCTAAGCATCTTTAGTACTTCTGAGAAGTGGAAGAGGTGTCTGCATGAACTCAATGACATAAGATCTGAATAAATTTTTCTAGAAAATTACGATTTTTTTTTAATCAGAATTAAATTCTCATGATTTATATAAATTCATTTTTATATAAACTGAACCCAAAAATCAAAGGCAGTGGAATAACCATCCCTGGAAATGCTCAGGAAACGCCTGGATGCGGCACTTCATGCCATGGCCAAGCCAGTGTTCAATCAGAAGTTAGACTTGCTGATCTTGGAGGTCTTTTCCATCCTTTTTGTGGTTCTGTGGTTGCATGATTCTGAACTGAACTAAAAATCACAACTGAACAAATATTACACACCAGTTATCAGAATGCAGAAGAGATAACCTGTGCATTCCTCGACAGCTTTTGTGTTCACTTGGTTAAACTATATGTGTGCTATCACTTTACTGTGGCAGCCCTAAAACGCAATTAAGCACATGGGCTGGTAAGACTGGAACAGTTTTTCCATCTCAGGCTCAGAAATCAAAGTTAGCAGGACCAATTTGATGTATACACTCCATTATAAATGTGAGGAAGGAATAGTCTGCTTTCTGCTTCTTATGGGGGAATAAAAAGAGTCATTAATAAAGTGTGAGTGAAAACTGAGATAAAACATGTGAAGTCTGACTTCTTCAGCAATTTCTTATTCTCTGTGAGCAGTACTGTGCCAAAATACTGGAAAATGTTAATCTGTGGTTCCATTTCAACCATTGTAAGAGGCATTGTCAGTTATTCAGAAAAAAATTTAAGGTTTCCAGGCTATTGATTAAAGCTTGTAAAATTAATAAAGGAAGAAATTATGAGTTCTTAGAAGTGAGTTCACAGGCTAAATTTTTTATTAAACATTTTTCAAGTATCTGTAAACTATGAAAAATGTTATTACTATAGCCAAACACAAACAAACGTAGCAAAAACTATGATGTATAATTGAAATGAAGCTGAGTAATAATGAAAAAGGAGAAATATTAATGAAATCTTTCTATTATATGAAACAAAATATGTGGAAAGAGTTCTCAGGAGGATTTTAATTTTTTTCTCATGTGCAGTAATCTTAAGTAATTCTAGTAATTTTTTTTAGAAATGTCCAAAATTTACATTCTTTCTGGTTAAACTGAATATTTTGGTATGAAATTAGGAATCTAAATAAAGTGGCCAAATTTTTGAATGTATTTTGCAGTTGTAATTTCCTCTTATTTTCATGGCATTTTTGCATGGTAAATGTTTAATGATAACCAAGCACTTATATTTAGCTACTGAGTGAAGGGCTTGGGAGCTTAATTTTAGTTGTGTGCAAATGTTTGAATTACTTTTGTTATAAATAGCGTATGTTTAAATTTTTTTTTGAAACAAAGAGATCTGAGCACACATCTTTTCTGCAAAATCAAGGTAAATTGATTCCTGGTCTTCTTAACATTTCTTTCTATCCCACTGGAGGGCCAGCTGATGTGCAAGCCACCATTTCCTCAAATGAATGGCATTTGTTTCCTGTTCTCCAGTTTATCTCTGAGAAAACTACACTTCACATATCTCTTAAGAGTTGTAATGAGGTTTAGCTTGTTAATACAGGACTTGTAATTTGTGATTACCAAAAAACACTGTCAAAATATGGCTTCTTTGACTATTCTTGTTTCATTATATCAATTCCTGAATGGAAGAACGTTAAACATGCAATATATGACTTCAGTCCACAGGGCATTTTGGCTATTAGTTTAAAAAAATCTGCACATGAGACCCCCCCCAAGTGTAAATATGTCAATACAGTATTATGGGAAGATATTACTGTTTACATTGTACAATGTATGCTTGCAATATTTAATTTTGGTTTTTTTTCAACCAAACATGCATTTCCATAAGTTCCTTTTCTAAGAAAAAATATCAGATACTATTTTCTGGTGAGTAGATGTGCAAAGATTTTTTTAAAATATTTTTTCCAGCACTTGCTTAATATTTTTCTGTTGAAGTTATCTTCTTTAATACAGAGGCATCACAGTTATTAGGATAGACTACACAAATATTAGACTATATAGGCAAAAGATAAGTGATAAAAGAATGAAATTTGAAGTTTGAAATGCTGATAAAGGGTTACCACGTTATGCAGGAGAGATATCCTGGATATGTTCAATCATTTTTAACATTGAACACTAAGCTTCACAGACGCTACCTCTGGAACAAGCAGTTTCAGAAATGATGGAAGTTTGCTGTGTTGTACACAGACTGTTGGCAGTCATTTCCTTTGATGGATTAGGCTTCATACTGAATTTCCAACCTTTTAGTATTCTTGCAGTATGTGACCATTTTGACAGAGGCACGCTAATAATGCAAAGGCTTTGAAGAAAACAAGTGACAAGATAAAGTAGTCCTTAAAAAGCCCAAACCCAACAGCATAGTGCCTAAGCCCATAGTTGCAGAGGCAGGGTGAGGATTCAGGAGCTTTGGGTATATGAAACTGCTGTGTTTTGGACTCTTTCCCTGGGTCTCTGGCAGTAAAGGCTAGTGGGAACCTTGAGGGAAACCTTCTAACACTGTTCATGTGATCAGGAATTATCTGCTTTTTGCAGTCATAGTATAGGAACCATGTCAACAAAGTTCTACCTAAATGAGAGCTAGTGTTCCAAACCAGTAGTAATCCATGCTGTTTTCCCAGTTCTTCAAAATAAAATAATTTCAATGCACACATCTACTGTTTTGGTTCATAATATCTACTGAAACTGAAGCTATTGAAATAGCTGTAACATAAATACATTGCTTAGCAAGAAAAATGTGTAGTAGTAACACTTTACTTCCATCTACAGTACATCCTAAATATCAATGTTTTCTTCTCAATTTTGACAGCAGTTAGATGGTATTTGGATAGGATTTATGTTACAAGTCTCTATTTCAAATGACTGTTGAGTTGGAATTTGGAATAGTCTCTTTAAATCCCTAAACTGAAAAACATGTTTTGTACATATTGTTAGGGTCTGAGGTATGTTTCTACTATTCAGGTTTTGCATTTTGGGACTCAGAATATAGACTGCCATTTTCAAACAATGACAAACTCCCATGACAGAAAGTTAAAAACCCCACAATGTGCTCTCCATATTTGTACTTGCACTCACATGCAATGTGGGTACTTCATCTCTGGCTTTTAGTTTAGATATGTAAAAGTTAGGACACAAACATTCCCTCTTTTATGTACAAAATTTAATTTAAAAATAACAACATGTCCATATATTTCTAGCAATCTGATGTTTTCAGTCTTAAATCCTCTGGTTTCTATGTCTAGCCACACTATTAAATAGTATTTTATACTAAAAATTCCATGAAACACCAATTGGACATTCTTCAGTTTCTAAATGTAATTTCTGCATAGTGATAATTATGCATATTAGGATCTTGTCTTTAGTTGATTGAATTGTGTAAGAGGTATGGAATATGTCTGTATTTACAGATTGGAAGTACATTCTGTCCAGCAGATTTTCCCATGAAAAGCCTGAAAATGTCTCTGTGTGTTTGAGAATTTTATGTGTGATTTATTGTAAGACACTTTCCAGATGCAAATGGTTTGTGTCTTAAGAATGGAGGAATACATTGAAATCCTACTTACTAAATGTAGAATTATCAACATTTTAGAAAAGTGGTAATGATTAAGAGAAATAATTTACCTTTTTGTCATTTTTCATTGGTGAACTGGTATATGCAAATTGGATTAAAAGTATAGAAGTAGAAAACAAAAAAATATAGCACTTACTTGCATTGTTTTTTTGATCAGATTTTGTGCATTTGAGAAGGTAATAAATGCAAAAGTGAATCTTCTGAAGGGGTTATTAAATCTCTCACAAATTTTGAGTATTTAAATACCAAACTCATAGGCAAGTAATGGTATTGCTAGCTTTACCTGGTATTTTTTAATTTGTGAGTCTTTCTTCAATTGAAAGGAGTTGGAGGCTTTAAGAAAACACTTTAGTGGGTGACTTCTATCCAATATAAGCCTTTTTCAGCAGCTTACATAACACTGGCATGCAGCCAAGAGTCAGGTGTGTCAGTATGGTTCTCTGCTGAAATTAATGTGCTCAAATTAATGATCCTGCCTTAGAAACCTCAGCTTTTTTAGAAGTTCAGGATGACATTTCTTTTCCTTTAACCTGACTGATTTGCAGAATTAAATGAGTTTCATTTCTGATTTGCAACATGTACATCACCTGTAATTTTTGTCTGCAGATTTTCCACATGACATACGATCTGGCCAGTGCAGTGGTGAGAATCTTTAATCTGATTGGAATGATGCTCCTGCTGTGCCACTGGGATGGTTGTCTACAGTTTCTAGTACCATTACTCCAGGATTTCCCACCAGATTGCTGGGTGTCCCTAAACGGTATGGTTGTAAGTATTGTTCATTTTTCATTGTGCTTTCTAAACATTATTTTTCTAAACAATTAGCTACAGAATTTAGAGTGAAAACACATGCCTAGTAATATGCTGCCCTGCAAGTTATTCAGGTTACTTTCCTATTTTCTTGGCTCACTTGCTAATGAACTAAAGTTTGTTTTGTAGTACTCATGGTCAATAAAATGATATTGACTTCCTTGTCAGCAAATGAGCCAGAAAATACTTTAAGTTTTAAGGTCATTCTAGTTTATTAACCCTTATTCCCTAAAAAAACCCCACCAAAATAAGTATGGAAACACTCAGTTCGCCACTGCTTTCAGTTTAGGCTGTAGTGCCAGAATGCTACTGAAGGTAGATTATTGACGTAATGTAATGTTATCCTCAGTTTGTAAACTTCTGAGTCATGTAATGATCCATTGTTCCCAACACACAGATCAAGATTTTTACAAGTAAAATAAGATACATAGACTTAGTTGTATGATAGTTTTCTGCGTGGAAACAGAATGTTCAAGGACAGAAAGTGACTGCGCGTTATTTTTAAGGACGGGTAATGACTTTCTATTTAAAGGACAATGGCTGTGAAAAATACTTTTTTTTTTTTTCAAGACAGATAATGTGGCAATATATATAACATTTTTAAAGGAAATACAGTGCAATTGTTGGAATGGGCCTACAGCCAAAAGAAAAACCTCAAGCAGCTCTCTCATTGATAATGTGAAACTATGTGTCTCTCTGGTTTTTGTAATCTTAGCATCCATAAACCATCACCTTTACTGAAGCTGGGCATCTTGCTCAGTGTCACATTTTCCTGCTGTAGAACTGTAACAGTATTCGTTCCTTTAGGAACATGATACTGCACATTAATGTGGGAGCTCCTTGACTAAGACTGTCAGTCAGACAGACAAGTATTTGCAGTCATCAGGCAACATATTTAATGATAACCAGCATGTTTGCTGACACCTCATTGTGCCTGCTTTTCTAAAAAAAATACTGACATATCTTCAAAAATGGAATTGCTACAATAAAAGTAGGTCACCGCAGTGCTGACTGGCACATCTTTCCATTCTGCTGTATTCCGTGTTCTGCTTTCTAACATCTTCCATTCACATTTACAAAGCGTAAATTTTCTACCAGCTTTTTAAAGATCTGGATGAAAATCATGCTAGCGAATGAAAGGAAGCCTAGGATTACACTTAATTGAAGAATTAACTTTTAGAAAACACTAAACTATTAAATTCTCTCTGCTCCTTAAGAGCTACATTCAGTCTTAAGGAAGCTGTACACACTGTGCACATGCTCAGACCCTTCTTTCTGCCTACCCACGTTCGTGTTTGTTTTTTTTAATGGAAACAATATTCTCTCTCTATTGTCCATATAATCTTCGAAAGATCCTTTCTGAAAGTTGCAGCATTAATTTTTTTTTTTTTTTTTTTTATAGCAGCAACTGAATTGTTTATGCTGAATGAATTTTGGGGAGAAATTTGAATATAAAGTTCCTAACATAGGCAGTCTTTCAGGCCAGTGTCAAGAGAAAGAGTGGTAGACTGCTAGCCTGGAATCAGGTGCATATTTAAGACCACTGTTAGGAAAAAGGTTTAGACTTCTAGACATGTCACGGTGTTACAAGACATTTTTAGTTGTTTTCCAGGCTCTGAGAGTGAATTTTTTAATGCTAAAAAAAGACAGTGAGACAGTGAAGCTGTCATGGAATATCAGTCCTCTAAAATGATAGAGGAAACAGAAGGGGTATGATAATGACGATGATGATGATGGTTATCTGCTTTTCTGGTGTATTCAGGGTCTAACTGAAAGGTGACTTTTGGAGTTTGAAATGGTTTCACGTTCCTGACATTGCAAGAGCTTTGGCAAGAGGGAAGCATTACACTCCTGGTATTCTGTTGCACATAACAATTTAATCTACTCTGAATTTTAATTTTTGTTACTGAAATGACTGCACCTGGTACTGGGGTTTGGATACAAAGTAAAATTTTAAACGTATTAATTGTGATCACTGGCTTGAAGACTTATTCAAGCCAATATGTGCTCAGCCAGAAAAAGTCAGTTTTTCCAAATGTAAGTCAGTGTCAAGTCAAAGCTTTTTCAGATAATCTGTTAATAAAGGAAGTAAAGAAGTCGGAAGGATGACATGGTATCTCCTTGACTGACAGAGCCCAGCTTTCTCTTCTGGTACATAGTTCCATTCTGCTTTGCATATTAGTTGCTTCAGGTTGCAGAGTGCAAGAACTTTTAAAAGCCTTGTCCTGAAAGCTGTTTCATCTGCCTGAACTGATACACAAAATTATCCAAATACCTCAGGCATGCTCATGGTTTTAATTTAAAAGTAGTATAAAGGAAAATAATGTAGATTAAATTTAATGTCACAGAGGAATAGGAAAATTAACCCAGGTTGCAGATTGCTTACTACCTCTTTGAACAATGTGACAGAATGCAATTAAAATGAAACAAATTAGTTGAATTTTTGTCTTTGAAAGGTTAATGGAAACCTCTTAGTGCAACACGAAGGAGACTATAAAATAGAAAGCCTTCTCTGTAAAAGATCACCACTGGTTAACAATGTACTAACCTACAGCCTAAGCAGTTCAAAAAAATTGTTCAGATCCCATTGATATATACTCTCTGCCATGATAATAATTATGAGCCTGTACTGTATCTGTACTCTCAGCTTGAACCTCTTGGCAGTTCCTAACATTGGCCCTCATCTTGCAATGAAATGACTGCCAGAGTTGACATCTTCCAGAATATTGGTGTACTGGTCAGTAAAAATAAGAAAACTGGTAAATATAATACGAAAGTAAGTAGCAGCTGTTTGCTGCTCTCCCTCCCCTCTTCCCCCCCACCCCCACCCCCCCACTTTTAGTCACATTCCTGCCCATCCATTACAGAAAAAATAAGAGTCAATTATTTATAGGAGGGAATATTGCTCTTTGATGCCGTTTTAGTTTTTTTTCAACACTAGGATTTTTTAATTCCTAAAGAAGGTCTTTTCTGAAGAAGTTTCACAGACTTTCTTAATGATGCTGCCTAATTTCTTCTTGGCTCAGAAAGCCTATTATCTGCATCTCCCTGTGTGATTTATCCTCAGCTTTCTGATCTGCATTGCTTTAGACTAGTGTACTTCCATAATGACTCATAGACTAAACATTTTTGTCATGCCTCAGAGTTTGAGCCAGGAGCTCCTTAGAAAATTAAGAGTAGATAAACTTGCAGGTAAAACTAGGTGCACACAAAACCAGAAAAGCACAGTGGTCCTCTGCTATAGTCAATCTATGCAAACCAAGATTCTGCATTCAGTTTCAGGTACAGTAATTGCAAAAACCAGTGTGTGGGTTCCAGCTGATGAACTCACCTAGTCGCATCTTACATGGGTAGGATTTCTAGGCAAGTGCAGATGAGAGATGACACTTTTGCCACTGATGCCATCTGGCTATCTAAACATCACAGCCTGTGATAAAGCATACCTTGCAGCAGATGATTACTAGCAGTATCTGAAGATTCCCAACTAATATTTTCCTGTCAGTATTTGCAATAATTAGTTGTATGGTTAGGAAAACATTTGGTCCCTTAAGCAATGTATTTACCTGGGCTTTACAGATTTTTTAATTTATAATGTTCCCTTTGTGAGATACAAGTGCAGTGGGGAGGTATAGAATTTAACTTGAATGGTGAGTTTTTTAAAAGCCAAAAGAGATTGTAAAGCTTTTGTAAAGTCCTTACTTTACTGGCTTTTCCCCTGATAGTCAGCCACTGTTTGCTCAGCAGGAGCCCTTCAGGTACTCTGATTTATTTTATTTTGTCTTTTCCTTTCTGTCCTTGCAGTTGGATTGTTTGGAGCTCTTAGGGTGTTCTAGGATGGATTTAGTAACCTGGGATTTTGCATTGTATTGACACCCATTCGTGTCTCATAATTTCCTCAGGAGCAAAAGAAATCAGACCTTCATCTCTGATGGTATCAGCACTGCTAGTAAAAGAATTTGGGAATTTCTGCCATAAAATCTGGAAGTCTCTCTCACTATAAAATGGATCACTTTAAATGAATATTTGATAGGAAATTCAGAAAGGCAGGTGATGGTTAGGATTTATAATGCCCTAAGAACTGTGCTAACATATATGTAATATATAAAAAAGCTATTTAATATACCACCCAAAACTACAATTTTAATTCTCAACATTTCTTACTAATGGACACAATTTTCAATTACACAATTTTAATTTCTTTTTTCAGTAGTGTCTCTGCTTTACTTAATGGAGCTCAAGGATTTCAGTATAGTCATTTTGATGTGTTATTCTGCATTGGGTTTTGTCCTTTTTGATAATGCTTCAGCGTAGCACCTTCTTCCCTATAGATGGCAATTAGGGAAGCTAATTTTCTCATGAGATTTTTCTGCATTTGATCATTATGTGATAGCTGTAATTTAGAGCTTCACAAATGTTTCTGAGTACATTTTTATTATTATAAAATATTATAGAGCCACATTTAAAGCATTAGATTCCTCTGATTTCATTTGCAATACTGAGCAATAAATGCTTGTGTAAATCAAATCCCACAGTTCTACACTGGATGCTTAAAAAGTATGGACCATATGGGAATCATCTGATTCCTAGAGACATTGAAGGTCTGATGAGTTTTACTACTATTCTAATGTATTTTGTACTCATATATCAGTGTGTGTCTATTTAGTTAGTGCAGTGCTTCTTGGAACACATAAAAGTGTGAAATTACGAATCAGAGAGGGACCGGGATCAAAATTGGTGGATTTGCTCAAGTCAGACACTCTTTACAACACAATTTGGAAATACAGTAATATTGGAAAGAAAAATATGCAGCTGACATTCTTAGGACTAAGGCACACATATTTTTAAATCTACAGTAGGTAATTATATTGCTTCTGTTATGTGCACCTATTCAGAATTCAGCTGCTGGTCTTTCCTGCCCTCAGCACTGACCTAGTCACTGAGGTCAGTCTGCTTCTTCC